AAATATATATAAAAAGTTTGATTTCTCTTCCAAAAAAAAGCATCAGTGTATGGATGACTCTTTAACCTCCTCATGCAAAGCCAGCTGTTAAATTTTGGAGGCTGCTTCTTGAATATTTAGGAAAACACACTGCCCACAMTTCAACTTCTCAGCAGGGAGCTTTGGAGAGAGACAAATCCGCAAAGAATAAAGAGGTCAAGTGCTGATATTGGGACCTGAAAAAACACAGCTCTTGGAAGAAAAGAGACGGGGAAAAATTTCCCTTCAGCTCAGGGGGCTGGGGTGTATCTGAGAGAAAAATTTACCCCAAAACTGGGAATTGAGCACAGGGATCTGATCGAAATTAAAGAAGACTTAGAGAAAGGCAGGGGGGCCTGGTTACTGCTTTGTGTAAATCCTCMTTCCCTCGTGCTAACTGCAATGAGCAGAAATTGCCTTTGCAGCCTTGCAAAAAGCTGATTTGTTTGCCCCGCTCGCACACGGCGCTGGAAGAGGGATCCATAAATCCCAGCATGATCGGGGCTCTCCAGAACATCCCGCGTCAGCTGCTGGGAATCAGCGAGGCTGGYTGGGCTCAGAGGGGACATTTGTCACAGGTAAGGAGGGACTCTGCCTTCCTCACCTGGAAAAGGCACAGGGATGTGTCCCTGGCAGCAGAAAAGCCAAACATCATGGTCGGTGTTGGAGTTTACAGTGAAAAATTCGATTATTTCACCGAGAAAAGGTGATTTCACAGAGATCTAAACCCTGGTCAAATCCTAATCTGCAGTTCACTGTCCCTCTGCTCGGTTTGACATCATTCCCTCCTTGCAAGGGATGTCACCACCGTGACAAGCTGCAGCAGAAACGGGTGGCACTGCCTGGGGAAAGATCTGGGCACCGATTTCCCCTCCAGCTCCAACTCCAGGCTGGAATCCAGGTTTAGAAACCTCACCTCTTCATAAATCACTCAACAAAGAAGAAAAATCAGGAAATGAGCAGAAAAAAAAAACCCAGCCAAAAACCCCAACCCAAGCTGATTTATCAGGTCTGTGGGAATTGAACACGGCAGCTGTTTTATCAGCAGCAACACCTGCACACGATATTGTCAGGAACAAACCTGCACTCTTGGAATAGCCCTGCCTGACTTGAGGAACTGCTAAAACTCCTTTACACCTTCCCCTCACAGCCATCACTTTAATTGTTTCAATTATTCCCATCTAATCGCCTTGACAAATATTTTGAAATTTAAACCCAGCCTGAGGTCCGTACGTTATTAAAAGGAAAAAAAAAAAACACAACAAAAACCAGAGAGGGAAAAATAATAAAAAAAGGACAAACCCAACAAGCTACACGGAATTAACAAGCTAAGAGAATTAATTGTAGCATGGGGTTTTGGAGGCTTCCAACAGCCCTCCTACTCTGTGCTGCTGATTTCAGGGATTTCCAGTGCTGGAAGGAACATTTTCTTCAATGCACAGCAGTGTGCTTGCAATGATCTATTCATGCAGCATTATTACTATTATTATTATTATTATTATTATTATTATTATGCACATCACTGTCCCCTCCCATGGCCCTGAGCTCTGTGCAGACCCACCCAACCCTGCCAGGGAGAACAGAAGGGCTGATGAAGAGCTCTGAGCTCATCCCTTCAGGGAATTCCATCCCTCCCAAAATCCCCAGAGCAAGGAATTAATTCATCACCCCATGGAGATGCCAGGCAGAAACTTGGCTTGGATGGAGATTTTTTTTTTGCCAGGAGGGTTCAGAGCTGCCTGAAGTGCCCCAAATGGATGTGGGGAGGACAAAAGCACCAGACCTGGCAGCTCCATGAGGCCTCCTGGAGAATTTGCCCCAAAAGGACAAAAAAAGGGTCCCTGGAGCTGGCTGGAAGAGGCTGATGATGGGTTGGCACGCAGGAAATGAGCCTGGTATAAAAATGGGTAATTTTACATTGCCCTGGCCCCCATGGAAATGCATCAGGGGCTCCTCCTCATCTGCCCCAGTGACCTGTCACAAACTGGGAGAGCCCTGATGCCACTCTCTGCAGCCACAGGTACCACTTTCTTTTGGCCAGCACCCCCAAAATCCCACTCTGTGCCCCAGCACGCCGAGAATTCCCTCTCCCAACACTCAGAAAGCAGAGCTGTGCCACACCACGAGCTGCCGGCTGGGATGTGCTTATTAAATAAAATTAATGCTAAAAGACAGAAACAGAATTCCCCTCCAGAGCTGCAGGGCAGGTGTTTAATTCAGCATTTTATCCTATTTTCTCCTCTTTTTCTTTTTTGCCTGAAATATTTTTCCATCTCCGAGCAACTCAGTGCTCCACAGACTCTCGATTCCCTTTCCTGATGGTTCTCTCTCCATTTAAGCAATCCTTCTGCTTGCTCCCCTTGACAGCAGTTCACTGTGATTTTATCTTTTCTATTAGGCATTGATTGCAGAACCTCAGAGGGTTCATTAGGAGCTTGATAATCCCTCCAGATTTATGAGCCTAAATTGCTCACTCCCATCTCCAATCCCCATCTAAATATTACTAATTTCCTTAAACATCTCTTCCATCTGCCCAGGTTTTGTCTGATGTCACCTTTGCATAGCAGCCCCTGCCAAAAAATCCAGTTAGTTCTGCTAAAGGCTGGGCTTTTGGACAAAGTGGTTAAAATAACCTGGGTAAACAGATTAATACCTGAGAGAGCGAACGGCAACAAAACTCATTTCCTCCTCACCTGCCACCGCTGGGCTGCACGAGGGTTTGAAAGGCAAATTTCACCTCCAGCAAATGCTTGATCAGCCCTGTGCTCGGGGTGCTGTGGGGGTGGAGGTGGGGGGATTAATTTTTGATTATTTTTGTTGTCTGAGCAGCGTCTCTGAACAGCCTGAACTGTGGGTGATGTGCAGGAGGAAACCCCTCGTTCTGTGGGGCTGTGATTTGGGTTGGGATGGGGAAGGGGAAGAGGAAGAGCTGCTGGGAGCAGTGGGAAGCACTCTGGGAGTGGGGCTGGATGGGTTTGGGGTGCTGTGGGCACTGTCCCTCACAGTGACAGCGCAGTGACACCAAGATTTGGGACACAAACACAAAACACAACCCCTAAGCTCCATCCCTGCCTGAACCCTTCAGGAACATCCCTGCTCTGCCCATTCCAGGGGGTGACACTCTCTGCAGTCACCAGGCTGGGACAGAGGGGCCAGCACCCCCAAAAATCCCACTCTTTGCCCCATCACGCTGAGAATTCCCTCCTCCAACACTCAGAGAGCAGAGCTGTGCCACACCACRAGCTGGCAGCTGGGTTGTGCTTATTGAATAAAATTAATGCTAAAAGACAGGAACAGAATTCCCCTCCAGAGCTCATCTTTCAGCCATGACCTACGGGTCGAACACTGAACAGGATCCCAAGTGCTGCCTGGCCAGGAGGAGCCTCGTGGCTTTTTTATTCCTCACATTTCTGTGTCTCCAACACCTCCTTCCCCTTCTCCCTTCTCCATTCTGTGCCCCAATCTCTCCCATCTCCCTCCTTCCCCTGCTCCTCTCCACTCCAGCTCTCGTCCCACACGTTTGGCTCCAGCCCTTCCCGTCTGTCTCCCACCCAAACACAAAGCGTGATTCAGCTCCCGGCTTCCCTGCCATAAATATTAATGGAAATTAGGGAAGATGAGCAGCACTGGGAAGCCTTCATCCTCCAGTTTTCCATCAGCCCTTCATCCTCCAGCTTTCCACCAGCCCCACAGCAGCCCTAAAAGCCAGGTTCCTGCTCTCCTGGTGGCACTGCCCTCACTCCACGTGGCAGCCCTGGAGCTGCTGCAGCAGCAGAAGTTCCTCTGATGTTTATTTGGGGTTTATTTTGTATTTATTTTTTGTTTATTTTGGATTTATTTGCTGTTTATTTTAGGTTCATTTTGGGGTTTATTTTGGGTTAATTTTGGATTTATTTTGGGTTCATTTTGTATTTATTTTGGATTTATTCTGAATTTATATTGGATTCATTTTGGATTTATTTTGGATTTATTTTGGGTTTCCCCCACTGCTGCCTGAACCCATCACTCCTCTGTGGGGTTTAACCATTAATCACCCCCATTAATGTCATCAGTGGCCATAAAGCCAAAGCACCACGCTGGAAATCCACCCCACTCTGCCTCAAAACATTTATGGGATCATCCTTCCCTTGGCTCAGGGAGCAGCAGGAGAGGGCTGGGATCCCTTCCAGATGCTCATCCCAGAGCAGCCTGGGCCTCTCCCAGCACAGGGAATGGGGACAACTCCAGCAAAACCCAAAAAAATCAGGAAAATTGGGAAAATTGGGAAAATTGGGAAAATCAGGAAAACCGGGAAAATCAGAATCTTCCCAAAGCCCTGCACATCTCACTGCACCAGCTCCAGTCACAATGCCCACAATTCCTGCATCATTGTTTTCCACCTCCCAAAGGCCTGCCCAGCTTTGCACAAATCATGCCTAAAGATTTTTTAATTTTTTTTTATATATTTTTCCATATATTTGTAGCCCCATAGAGTTTTAATAYACATTTGTATAGTTTTTAGTACTTTTTCCTGCCCTCCCTCACATTTTAGAACAATGAACCAACCTTTTCCAACTCCTTCTTGAAATTCTGGTTGGGCTGATTTTCAAGAAGGGAATTCCTAACAAGGAGATCTTGTTTTGCACCCAATTTAAGAGAATAACAAGATCCAGGACAAAGAACTCCAAGGGGCAGACCCAGGGGCGGGCTCTTGCTGGATAGATCAATTATTAACCTTATAAAAATTGTAGAAATCCAATACCATGGGTGCACAGAGAGATTTCATTAAAGAATTGCTTTTGRAATGACTGTCCTTGATGTTGTTTGGAAAAGTTTTGCTTTTTGATCTTGGATAGCTGATCATACCCCTCCTTCCCTCCCTGTTTCCAGCACGTGGCTCTTCCTGAGGATCCCACAGGTCAGGGGGTTCAGTTCCACTTAAAATTACTCCACACCCCTAAAAAAAAAAAAAATTAGGGGAAAACTTGGGAGAAGCTCCTTACCAGGTTAGTGAAGATATAGGTGTAATAGGCAGACGCCATCCCCAGCTCAGCTGCCTGTGAAGGGAGAAGAAAAATCAAATTAAACCAGAGCCTGCCAATCTCCAACCTCCAGGATGGAATTTGGGGATTTCTGCATCCATCCATCAATCTGAGCACAAATTCCAAAAATGCCTCCTGTGCAAAGCAGAAACTTTTGAGCTCCCAGCAGAACAGATCTGAACCACTGAACAGACCCCAATGGTCCATAAAGTTGCTGGAAATGTGAGGAGGGCCCTGCAGAGGCTCAGAACCCCTTGGGATGAGGATTTCCACGACTGGAGGAAAATAAGGATTGCTGCTTTGAGTCTGGATGCTGCTCTGCTCCTSTTTTGGGGCAAAATGAGGGAAAATGGCAGCTGAGAGCTCCAGGCTCATCCTTTCCACCACAAATACCCTGATGGAGAGAGAAAGGCAGGAAAAACTATTTGGAATTGCAGGAAAAGGACAAGCAAGCCACTGGTGGTTTTCCAGTTTTATCAGTCAAATTTGGGCTCCAATTCCATAAATTAATTAACGTGAATTGAAGCCAGTGACTCCAGAGCAGAGACAGAAGAAAAAAAAGGTAAAAGCGCACAGGGATGCTGAGAGAAGGGCACAGAATTTTCCATGGGGATGATCTGTCCTAGAGATCACAGAGCAAAAAACTGAAGGCCTTTCCTAAAATTCTCACAGAACAAGGAGCTGGTTGTGGGAACAGATGCTCAGGAAAGTGGGRCATTAATCTGCAGATGCTCCTGGAAGCCTCTGTTCCACTGCCAGGCACAGCTGGTCTCAAACCCAGCTCCCAGACCTTGGCAAAGAGGTTTTCCCAGCAGTGCAGACCACACAGAGGGATAGGAGAGGAGGAGGGAAGGGCCAAAAGCAGCAGCTCCATCCACCTCTAGAAATAAAACACTTGCCAGCCTCCCAAAGTGCAAGAAGTTGCCAGATCAGAAGTTTTTTATTTGCTAATTTATTATTAAAATACATTATTTTTATTTATTATTTTATTATTAAAATACTTTTTTTGTTATTTAGAATTTACATTTATTTATTCTGTTTTTATTATTATTTTATTTGTTTTATTTTATTATCTTATTATTTATTAATTATATTTATTTATTATATTCCTATTATAATTTTATTTATTTATTTTATTTTTATTTCTTATTTTAGTATTTATTATTAGTATTTAGTATTATTTGTTTATTTTTAATTTATTGATTTATTATTTGTGTTTATTTATTATATTTTTAGTATTATTTTATTTATTTATTTTCTTTTTATTTATTATTTTATTATTTATATTTATTTCTTATCTTTTATTGTTACTTTATTTTATTTATTTTTATTATTTATTATTTGTAATGATTATATTTTTATTATTATTTTATTTATTTTTCTTTTATTATTTTATTATTTATATTTATTTCTTACATTTTTATTCATTTATTTAGAGGATTCCTGCAATCCTCTAGCTGTGGACAGTGAATTGGGTTTTCTGGGGAATCCTGGCAGTCKCTGCCACCTTTCTCAGCGGTGGCAGAAGGAGGCTGGAGCTGGGCAGGGAGATRATGTGGGTGCCTGGAGAGAGCTGCTGTGTGCCCGTGGGAAGTCACTATAGCAACAGAGGAGGGGGCCAKCCTTCAGCAGCCAGGCAGCACYGGGGGAAAAAKGGAAAAAATCCACACAAAAAAACYYCCCCYKKKGKWAKMWGRMCCAAAAAAATCCCCCAAACTGTTTAGAAATGAAAAGCGCATGCAGTGGGATAAAAATTTTTTAAGGGGAGTGAGGAATGATAAAAACATCCCTGCTGGGTGTCAGCAGGGATCAATCTGACACAGGGAAGGCTTTTGGATGATTCTTTGATGAAACCAGGACCGAGGGGCAATGCCTGCCCCAGCAAGGGGATCCCAGTGCTCCCAGTTCCCTCCAGGATGGGGGAAGCTCTGCTCCAGCTGGAGCTTTGAATCAGGCTATCAAAACAAGAGCAGAAAACTGCAGCTAGAGACCACTTAAGAATAAACAGGATTAAAATAAAATCTTGGTTAATAAGACAATTAAAGAGAGGGAGAAAAAGGATGGGAAATAATGGGAGGGGAAAAAACGAGACAGGAGAGCATTGATGGAATAATTTCAGAGAGCTGAGCAGYCTTTCACAGCTCTTTGATGGCAACACCAGCACACAGCACTGGTGGAGAGCCAACACATCAACTCTGAGCAATTAAATCACCACTCCCACAGACCAACCAGGGAAACTCCATCAGTGGCAATTCCCTCCGGGCAGAGCCCATTTCCAGTGCTGCTGCAGGAATCACAGAATCACAGAATCACAGAATCCCAGAATCACTGAATCATATAATCACTGAATCACTGAATCACTGAATCCCAGAATCCCAGAATCCCAGAATCAAAGAATCACTAGGGTTGGAAGAGACCTTCAAGATCTTAAAGTCCAACCTATTTCACACTCCATCATCGCACAATACATGAAGGACCTGACTGGGGGGAGCAGCAGCATCCTGAGGGACAGGGGATGACCAGGGATGGCTGAGGGACAGGGGACAAAGGGACAGGGGAGGCCTGAGGGACAGGGGATGAGGGACAAGGGATGGGCTGAGGGACAGGGGATGAGGGACAAGGGATGGGCTGAGGGACAGGGGACAAGGGACAGGGGTTGGCTGAGGGATAGGGGAAAAGGGACAGGGGATGGCTGAGGGACAGGCAACAAGGGACAAAAGATGGCTGAGGGACGGGGATGCTTGAGGGACAGGGGATGAAGGACAAGGGACAACCAAGGGACAGGGGATGGCTGAGGGACAGGGAACAAGGGACAGGGGACAAGGTACAAGGGATGGCTGAGGGACAGGGGATGGCCCAAGTGACAGGGGACAAGGGACAGGGATGGCCAAGGCACAGGGGTTGTCTGAGGGTTGGGATGGCCGCTCACCTTCTGCAGGATGGTGTGGGACATGGAGGCGTTGGCGTGCACGATGATGGTGGCTGTCTTGTCGTCTCGGATCTCCTTCAGCAGAGGGGTGGGATCTCGACTGTCGTCCAGCATCCGCACCGACAGCGTGTCCTTGGAAATGAGGAACTGCCGCAGCAGCTTCTCCAGGTTCAGAAGGCCTTCGAAGAAAAGAGAGAAAAAAAACCACAGATCCATTTTAATCTGAGGCTTGACACACATTCATCCATGGTGGGATGCATTTGTGAAGTTCTGGGTCCACGGACTGCAAAGGAAAGGATTTGGGGCTCAGTGCTCGGTCCAGCAAGGAATGAGGAATGATGGAGTTAACTCCAGTTCTTCTCCAGAAAAGAAAACTGGAAAGATTTGGTGCTCAGTGCTTGGCCCAGTAGGGAATGAGGAATGATGGAGCTGCTCCAGCTGTTCTCCAAAACAAAACAAAAAAAAAATACCAAAAAAAAGAAAAGGATTTGGTGCTCCGTGCTTGGCCCAGCAGGGAATGAGAAATGATGGAGTTAATTCCAGTTCTTCTCCAGAAAAATAAAGTGGAAAGAAAAGGATTTTGGGCTCATTGCTTGGCCCGGCAGGAATCGAGGAATTATGGAGTGAACTCCAGTTCTTCTCCAGAAAAACAAAATGGCCCCAAACTCCTCTTGGGAAGAGATAAAACCATCAGTACAAGATCCAGCCAAGGTCTCCGTTATCTCCCTGCACATGGGGTTGTTCTGGCTGTTGGAGGATGATTCCTCCCCCCCAATCTTTGCATTCCCAGCTCCCAAACCAAGTGCCCAGGAAGGCACAGCTTTTTTGCAGTTCCTGGATGAGAAGCTGCTCTTTTCCAAGGGGATGGGAAGCTCTGCTTCAGAGTCAGAGGTCGCTGCAAAAACACGACATTAAAAAATGGTGACAAAAATAAGCACGGGCACTTCAAGGGCTCCTTYCTGCCTTGAAGCCTAATAAGATGTCAAAACTGCAGCTGCAGATTTTGCCAGGCAAGAAAGCAGCTTTGATAGAGCCTCTGTTCCATCCAGCTGCTGAGTTTTATCAAGAAACCACCTCCTGTCAGGTTTGATTGACCAGAGGGAGCAGCAGATGGAATCATCATCAGCCTGCATGGCACAGGACGATCCCAAAAGAAAGGGGAAAACTGGGCTGGACAAACAGAGCTATCAGAAAATCACATCCCAGCAGGCAGAGAGGCAAATTAACCCTCGAGTCAGAGCTCTGCTCTCAACCTGAGCCATTTGTGGCTGCTCCAATGCAGGTCAGGAGCAGGCAAGTGGCACAGCAGGGCGGGATCAGCCACTCTCAAGGACTCCCAGCGCTGCACAGAGGCAACAAAGCAGGGCAGGAAAAGGGACAAATCCACGATGAGGAGCGTCTCGTTCACAGAGAGAGGTTGAAAGCACTCTCAGTTTGCTCTGAGCCCCTGACAATGCTCTTGCCTCTCACCTTTTCTCTGGGTACAGGTAGGAACCAGCRAGGGGCTGTAAAAACAGGGCTTCCCTGGGTCACAGCTTCTTTTTCTTCCTCGCCAACCAGAGAATTCACTCTGCTTGCTGCAAGGACCTCACCTGCATATTTCTTTCATTTTCCAGCCCAAGTTAACAGTGAGTGTTACCTCAGCCCTCCATTTGACCCTGGAGGATGTGGAAAGGTTTATTTTCCCTTCGTTCCACACCTGCATGGGACTAGACAGGCTGCTGCGAGTCACAGCCCAA